AAACGTACTCCCAGAAAACAAAGTTGAGAAGTTCTTCAGTACAGGCACCATTTCTTATGCAAAGAGACTCACACTGAGACAATCAGGGCCATATTTTCCAAATCCTCCCGAGGGAGGGTTGAGAAAATCTAGATTATCCAAATTTCGGCTTTCATTGTCTCTTTTCCCGGTGAAGTCTCAGTGCTAGGTTAAGAGACCCCCACTGCGAAAGTGAGCCCGGCCGCCTTCCTTTCCGCTTTCCGCGTAGATGTCTACGTTGGCAGCAGGATTTTCGCTTGCACTGGGGACTGTTGCTGACAGTGTCATAAGTAGTTCTTTAAAACATGCAGCCGAAAGGAAATGTAAAAAAAAAAAAAAAAAAAAAAAGCAAGACCCGTTTTCTCATTTATGTGTATTTTTTTCAAAGCTTCTGCCAGGCCAGCGTCTCCTCCGTAATTCACACTGCTGTCCTGAAATTTAAGCCGTTTCTTTTTTTTAAAACAAAGCGCTCCAGGAAGGACGGGCGGCGTGTAGGCGCGGGGGGTATGTGGCCCGACCCCTGGATCCCGGAGCAAAGCTCTCCGAGTCCTTCTCAACTAAATTTTCAGAAAAAACGGCTAAAGCGGCGTCAGATGGGCTTTTCGGATGGGAGGGGTGGAAAAATTGAGTAGCTCTGAGCCTCAGTATGTAGATAAGCTTGATTCTTTCTCGCCCCAGGCTATCGATACCGAGTGACGAAGAGTTTTAGAGAAAAATAATCTAAGTTTCTTCCAGGGGCAGAAAGGTAGAAACGCTCGGACGGAGAAAGGTAGTTGTTCTGTATGTGTGTGTGGAGGTTATATATACAGGGTCTCACTAGTAGTTCAGGCTGGCCTTGGCCGTGAACTCACTTTGTAGCCCAAGATGACTTTGAACTCGATGCGATCCTCCTGCCTCAGCCTCCTGAGTGCAGGGATTATGGGCGTGTGTCACCACGCCCAGCTTGTTCCAGTTTCTTTAAAAACGCCAGCGAAGTAGATACAGAGGAGGAAAGGTTTGAAAGTGCCTAAAGGATAAAGGCTTGCAAACTGCTTGCGTGGCTGGATGCATCACGCGAGGCTTCATCTACACAGGCGTGTGGGAAAGTTTGTCTGCTACTCAGTTTCGCGTGTTCAGGAAAGAAACAGCTCCTGCAATGCAAATCTGAACATCAGATCCACAGCAGCCCAGGTGGGTGAAGGGCGCCGGGCCAAGCTGACTTCCCAGGTCAGGCCAAGGGCGGGCTGCTCCCCGCGCGCTCCACAGCGCTGCGCGGAAGTGTGGGAGGCGGGGGCGGGGGGGATGCGGAGGCAGCGCCCTCGCGGATGGGGAATGCGAGGCTACTAGGCTGGGTGAATGGGGCGCGCACAGCCCCGCCACCCCGCGCCTGGATAAAATATGCCAGGCCTGCTCTTCTCGGGCTCATCAAGGCTGCGGGAGCCTCCCCAAGCCATCATCCTTTGTAATTGCAACCGTCAATCAGTACTTTAAGGCAAGATCAGAACCGGGAAGGCCGAGCCCTGGGAGACCAGTCACGTTAGCAAGAAGAGGCGGGAAAAGGGAGAAGTTTGCTCGAAGTCGGAGAGGGCGAGACGGGAACAAATTGAGGGCGCGTCTGATATCCAAAACTAGAGTTGTCCCCCTCGGCTTCCCAGGTCCTGGGCTCTGGTCTCCAGCGGTTAACCCGCGGGAGTGGGTCCGAGGATTCCACGAGCGCTGGCCCCAAGAGGCACAGTGGCGTTAGGTAAAAGATGCCCTCGGAGGAGGATGGGCTGTGTCTGTCGCCCGGGGTTGATGTACGTCTTGTGGTTCGTCGAGACCACCACAGGCAGCATCACTGACACCACACAGGGCTCATTCCATCTGCGTCCATCACCTCTGTCTCCTGCCTCCCGTCTCCTCGGCCATGGTCCTCAGGACCTAGAACCGTCCTGGGTAATCGATCAGGGTCACAGGCACTGCGAGTTCGGGCGCCTGCGGCTCCGGAGAGGGCCTTACGCAGGACGCCAGGATCCATCCAAGGCCACAGAGTAGGGGAGCTAATAGAAAGTTCAAGGGGTCAGGGTGAGGGTCCAGATGGAAGGAGGGGAGAGGCCACCGGAGCCTGGTAGTGCGCTGGGCGTCAAAGCCTGCTCCCGCGCTACTCCCTCCGCGTCTGTGCTGGGGGTGAGATCCCGCACCTCTACCCAATTCCTGGAGGACCTGCCCGGGGAAAAGCGAATGCTCCCTTGGATCTCTGGCGGGACCGGACTCCAGTAAAATTTCCCTTTTCATCCACCGCTGGAAGGAGTTTCGGACGTCCTTGGAGGGAATCTGGAACCAGGCTGGCCCGGGGAGCTTTTCCCGCCCTGGAGCGCCCAAGGCTACTGGGCTTCCGCGCTCCAAGTTGCCACGGTTCTTGGAAAAAGCAGTTTCCTCTCTGCTGGAGACCTCTGGCTCTTTCGTTCCCTTTCCGTTCGCTGTTACAAAGCAGAAGGTTCTGCTTGGACCAAACCTCCAAAGCTGGGAGGAAAGCTGAGGACCTGTCTTTCGGCAGGCAGTGCATGAACTTTTAAAGGTCGGATTCTTTCAAAATCTCAGCTGCAAGGCCCCGTTCACTTTCACCTTGCTTCCATCTGGTCACCATTTTTCTTTTTTAGAAATCTACCTGTGGGGAGATAAATAGATGCCAGCTGGCCTTTGCCACGGTCACTCTCTGTCTTGGGGGATATGGAGGGCAGGCTGTCCTCGATAGGGGGGTGACTCATATGGCCTAAGAGTCCCTGCTGGCCCTGAAGCTGGTGTTATGAGCAAGACCACCAAGGTCAGCGTCCGCCTCAGGCCACAGATTCCGACCACACAGCCATGACAAGGGCCTGTGAAATGCCCCGTGAACTTCTGTCAGCTTTCTTCCTCTCCCTCCTGGGCCACCACACTGAGGACTTTCCATCCTGCACCGGGCTGGAAGCTCACTCCTAGGACCCAGCGTGTGGAGTCCTGCGTCCTTGCCAGGGGGGCCTTTGGGAAGGTCTTGTCTAAGCGCTCTAAGCCTCTTTGAATTGCAGTGAAAGAAAACCTTCTCCAGGCTTTGAAATAAATTGAATTTCCAAGTCCACCTAAACTGACAACCAACCCAGGAGAAACAAGCCCACTCCCCCATACACAGTAATGGGTTGGCCTCCCTAAATGTATTTAAGTGTTTCCACGAAACTGAAATGCAACTAAAGCTAAACATTTTAAAATAGATCCTGAAGGTAGATAGGCAAAGTGACAAATCAGTTCAGAATGACTAGTATCTGCATTGCCAGGAGTGGGTGGATACTACACAACTTACTTTATATAGAAGTGTAAATTAGGCACTGCACCGATTGGGATCATTTTAAATTCATCAAGTAGTAGACTGGGCAGTTTGAATGTGTGATCTCTATGCCATTTAAATGGAATAAATTCAGATCTTTTGAGATTCAAATTCACCCCTTGTGGGTAGAGGCTGATAATTGCCCTGTTGCACAACAGACCCTGAATATGAGGCTTTTCGAATGCAGTCAGGAGGCTGGAAAAAATGTTTTTCATCTCTTTGGGATGAAATCTGAAAACTTTGAAGATGTGGCTGGGCTGGTGGCCGGAGAGCTTGCATAACAGATGTTTCTTTAAAACTTTTTTTTTTTTAAATGCCGATCCTCTGGGCCGTATGTGGCTCTGTCCCACCAAAGAGACACCAGGATGGAAGAGGCAAGCTGGGACGGATCTGTGCATTCTATATGGAAATACTATTCACTAAAACTAGGAAGTCTGTCACCAAGATAATCGTGGGCTCCAGTGCAGGGTTCACTGCGAGCAAAGTCGTAGAGCGCAGAGCAGGGCAGAGGAGTGGCAGCCCCTTCCCCTAATCTCCAGCAAGTAAGCGAAATCTAGGGGACCCCGAGCGCCCACCCCCGCATGGTCCTCCTACGCGCGAGGAATCCCCACGATGGCCTGTAAACCCTGAAGGTCGTGGGAGAATAGCTGAGAGCGCCCAGAATGTAAACCAACTGCGTTTAAGAAGAGGCGGTTGGTGAATTCTACGTTTTCTCCCTTCGGTATTTTAAGTGGGCGTTTGAACCGCTCTCCCTCGATGGCAAGTGCCCCCAGCCACTCACACCCAGCCCTCCTCTCCCGCTAGCAGAAATCAAATCTCCGCCCTGGTTCCCGGCCCCTGGCCGTGGCTCTTGGGCTGAGGTCGCTTCTGGTCAGCTGTAAGACCCAGCAGGCTTTACCTCCCCCGCCCCAGGCGGCGGCGGGTGGGAGTGGGCGAAGGCGGGGTGAAGAGGTTGGGCGATCCAGGGCTGGATGGAGCATCCTCATTGGCTGGCGGAGGGTGTCCGACCCGAGTCCGGAACCAGCGTCCGGGCTCGCTGTCATCACCCCCATCCCAACCGCCCCCACCCTAGCCCCCGGCCCTACTTACCTCCCTTCTTGCCGTCCCCCTTTCTTCCCACAGCCGACACCCTCACCCTCGGGGCTGCAAAGGGCCGCTCCCGGACGCGCGCGGAGTGACAGGCAGGAGAGGGAGGTTGGAACTTCCCAAGTCCGCACTTGCGATAGGGAGCGCGAGCGAGGCAGACTGCGGGGAAGGGGCGGAGAGGCGAGGCGCGGGGAAGAAGCTGAGAAGGGAGGCGAGCGCAGAGAGAGGGAGACCCCTGCCGACCCCCAGCCGGAGGGCGGGTGGAAGAGAAGAAAGTCGTCCGAGCCGTCCGGGAGCGGCGGCAGCGGCTCGGCCGGGCGGCAGGAGCAGCCTGGTGGCCGCCCGGAGCGCAGCGGCTGCAGATCCGTGGCCCGGCAGCTGTGTCCTCGCCGAGCCGCGCCGCGCCGGGGACAGGGGACCTCGGCGTACTCTCTCGTCTTGTTTCTCCGACCCCCTCGTCCACGCAGGGTGGGAACCAGGACGGGGTTGCGAGGTCCGGACCAGCGAGCGGGTGGGTGAGCGGGCACCCGGTCTCCCCTTCCTCTTCCCGCCAGAGTTGATCTGTGCTGCCCGTGTCCAGGTGCTGGGCTTCCGGACCGACATCGACCCCCCATTCCCGCCCGCGGCCGCCTGGTCATGCTGCCCAAAGTGGAGACGGAAGCCCTGGGACTGGCTCGATCGCATGGGGAACAGGGGCAGATGCCGGACAACATGCAAGGTAAGGAAGGCGGTGCCCGCCCGCTGACTGGCTCGGGCCGCGGCCGCTTCTCTACCCCGGGCCGGCGCCGCGGGCTGAAGCTTTCCGCCTCGGGGAACCGGGCGCGGGGCGCAAGGGGCAGCGAGGGGATTCAGGCCCTCTCCTCAGGTGCTGGCAGAAAGTTGATGACTCTTGAACCGTGCGGGCAGAGCTCTCTCAGTGGTATCTAATGGGACGCTTTTAATGAAAGGCAGGCTTCTCGGGCTGCGGCCCCGCGATCGGGGAGCAGGAGCTTGAGGCCTGAAAGCACTGGGATGATAAGGTCCTTCCAAGGCGTGGACGTCTCACCTGACGCCCGAGCCGGTCCGCGCCCTGGAGGCGCCGCGCGCATTCGCATTTCCGCGTGGAGGGAGAGGACTGCCCCTGAACGCTAGCTGCAGACAAGGAGGCAACCGGAGAGAGGCTGTGTTTGGGGATGAGAGTGACTGTGAGTCCCCCAAAAGCTCGGGCAACCCCAAGCCACCCCAGGCCCTGCCAGGGGAGTGTCCAGTGTGGGGGACTGAGATTAGTTGATTGCTTCTTCAGTGTGAGAGCTGACTGTGAAGGCACGTTTGTTTTCCCAGGTCTTGATTGCTAACAACAGGAAAAAAAATTCTACTGGCTGTATTTTCTCCACATTCCAAAATAGCTACTCTAGGTCTAGCTTGTATTAAGCCTGTCAGAAGTTTATCGCATTTGCCCCGGGCCAGGAGGGAACAATGCTAGGAAAAGTCAACGGTGCTCTTCCATCCTCGCCCCTTCCCGCGCGCAGGATGTGCGGGCCGGCCGGCCTGTGATCCCGGACGCTTCCTGCCATCCCCTTTCGCAGACTTGAAAGGGCCTGGAGGTGTTGAGAGCAGAGTTCAGGGCTGGTGCGCTCTGCGGCGCGGGTAGGCGGCGCGCCCGGGGCGCTCGGGCTGGGCACCCGACTTCGCCACCTCGCCCAGGGAGAAGAGGGTGGCAGGAGGACGTGAGTTTTGCGGTTGGCGTCGGTGGTCTTCTCGACGATCTGGGGCCTCTCCGAGTTTTCGAGTAGGGCCCTGCAAGTACCCTGGGGCTAACGCCCATGAGGCCAGTTTTGCGGGTCTGGTTATAAAAGAACCCGGTTGGCCCAGAGTCAGTTCTTCCCAGAATTTGGAGTTGACTTGTGGGAAGCCCGAACAAGGGAGCTGGCGGAGACCCTGTTCCGTCATCCTCGGAGGTGGGTGGTGTCTCTCCTTTCCGCCGCCCGCTGGAGCCCGCATGCTTCTTGCTCCAAAAGGAAAGTTACTTGTCGATCCGGCGCGGGCGTTTTTTGAGAGACTAGAAAAGCCTCTAAGGACAGCACGAGGAGAAATTGAGAAGGGGAAACTCCTAGGGTTTAATGGGGGGAGGGGGTCTAAGGTGATGTTTCTTGGTTAAGTTTGAAAGGCGCCTTCTTTGCACTGCCTTTGACTCCCAAACGAGAGTCCGAGCTCGCCGCGTGTCCAGGTCTCGGGAGAACTCCAGCCGCTTGCCCGGGTCTGGGTTCAAAAACCACCCGAGGAGCGCTAGGCAGTTTCCTCCCGGAGGTAGCCTTCCTGTCAGGAGGTGACCTTGGGATTGCGGACCCCATTCCCTTACGTGCTCTGGTCCCAAACCGCGTCATGCCCTTAGTCCGACCTGTCCCACGTCCAGAAAGAGGGTCTGATTCGAGGTTCTCAGCGTGGCACACCTAGCCTCACAGGGAGCTCTCGGCTGTTGTATCTGAGGTCCCCACCTCCAAGACCCCTCCAGATGGAGACTCGAGAGAGCGCAAGTGACTTCTTCACCGCTCTGGATTGGGTTCTTCTGCACCAGGGTACTGGGTGACCCCAGGATGCCCCATCCTCCCACATCGGGAGACTGGCTCCTTACCCAGACTCTGACTCTCTCTCTCTCTCTCTCTCTCTCTCTCTCTCTCTCTCTCT